GTAAGACTGGTAATGTCCAAATATGTAACCTCATCTTATAGTCATTCAAGGACTGTAAATAGAATGTCTTCCAAATGAATTTTGGCCTGGTTATCATTTTCTTTAAACAAGGGTCCATTTGATGTGAGGTAAATTATGATTTTATATCACAATGATAACCTGTTCTATCACTGATTGGTTCTCCATTCATATTTCTGTTAATTTCTTGCCATATATTCTTGGCTATTGTTGCCTTGAATTTGCTATTTCAGATGGCAACATCTGGGAAAGAGAACTTCAAAAATTTCTCTGACATAGATAAATCAGTGGGGAGAGATTTTAAAGAATAGATTATACGTAAGCCCCTGTTCCCATTGCAGTGATCAGTTGACTTAATTTGTATTTTTAATGCTAAATTCTTTTATATGAAAGTAATTATCAACTTTAAGTAAATATACATCTGAGTATTTAATATTGAGCTTTGTTTATGGCAATATATAGTAACACACTGTTGAGCTTATAAGAAGCTTCTTGCTATTTTAATTCCAAGTATCTGAATTGAAGTTCAGTGAAGAAACAAATCAGACTCTGTAGAGAGCTGTGAAAATGCAAAAGGACTTATGGGAGACAGGAAAAAAAATGTAAGAAAATATTCTTCCGGGTATTTGGGAGTTAGCCGTTATGTTTGTTCTTTCCTTATAATGAAAGCAAACAGGCCCTGAGTGTGCCTGTGCTGAACACACCAGCTCCATGATGGAGAACACGGGTGGATGTTCTGAGATTGCTTGGAGCATGTTAAGTCCCTGTAAGCAGCATGTGCTGCTAGCCTCTTCTATACCAGCCGCAGACATTGGTGACTCCAGGATTTAAGCAGTAAGTCTTCTGTTTCAGTTATTTTGTAGGAAATTAAGGATGTGATTGAAATCAGAGCAGATATTTTTTTTTAACCTCAAATGGGAGGTATCGGACAAATCATGTTCATTTTTGCCTTGTATAGTTTGAAGAAAGACTGCTTACTTTTCCAGATGTAATGGGATAGATATATAACATTTTCATTCATTGTTTGAGTACTTGCAGAATATGTTAAGGTTGTTTTGAGATCAAAGTACCTTGTGGTAAGAAAGGGAGAATCTACTCTTAATTTTATTTCAAATATTCTGATAGCATTTGTTACACTAAGACACACATACATGCACACATTCATACAGGCCATGCGGGACCTCACAGAGTTCTTCTGAGGGCAGTTTAGTAATTGGTAGAAAAGTGTCATGCCCTAATCTCTGAAGCTCTTTTGTTTGTCATTGTCAGTAAATGTTACCTTAGCATCCCAACGTAACAAGAGTCCCTGTCTTCTGTTTGTGGAATTACTGACAGTACATAAGAGGGACAGGTACTGTTCCTTTCACCCCACCAGTTACACTTAAGTGGAAAAGTCAGGTAGATAGTATGCACCTGGATCTGAGATGGCAGCAGCTCACAGGCGTGCGGACGCTGCAGTGAGCTGCATAGGGCCCATCGTCAGAAAGACACTGTGTTATACTATCACCGCTTTGAACGTCTTACAAGAGGCCCTGGCGTTCCATTTGGTGCTAAGCACTACAAATTATTTTGCTGGTCCCGCCTGGGGAACACTTGTTCTTCTTGGCGATGTTGGTCTGCACTTGGCCTCAGATCGCACTCTGTCAACACATGTGATCTCTCCTCAAATCAAAGAAATACACAAATAAAGTAACTTGTAAAGAACTGATTCCTATGGCATGCTCATGACTTACTGACTTTTAATAAACCAAGAAAGGAATTTAAGGCGATTTCTATCCATGCAGGTCTTACCTTGCTGGATTTGTTGTTTGTGTTCATTTTAAGTTGGTAGTGTTGGTTTTATGCTTATGCTTCTTTAAGATAATTGATTATACTACTTGGCTTATATTTCTTTAAAGTATAACTTGAGGAGCGTTTAAACAGAAATGTCTTTTCCTGTTTCTGTCTTGGATGGTAACTTGATTTTGGCCAGGTCTGAGAAATCTAGTTTTATAAATTGAAGCATCAGCATTGAGACAGTCCTCTTGTTTTGAAGTGCAATATTTTACTTAGAATTTAAAAAATCTTACAAGAGACCCACCCACATGCACAGTGCTATTAGTGATTTTTAGAATACAGTTTCTGCTTCTGTGGTGCCACCCAATCTGTTCAGTCTCACTGCTTGCCCAGGGGTCTCCTTTGTGACGCCTTGGTAAATGGAATTTCTCTTTCTATTAAGTCCTCGGAGAATCAGTAAGTGTTTGCTCAATGGCTTTTAAAACTGGGCCTCAAAACTTTTCTGTTTATATGTATTTGGGGGAAAAATTCAAAGGGCCTATGTTTCTTTGTTCTTTTCCAACCTCCCAATTAGCTGAAGTTTCTTGCATGTAGCTAGAAGGAGGAGGAAGGGGTGGACCAACAGGCATTTTACTGCCTGCAAGAAAGTGCTCAGCCAGTTTCTTTGTCCTTTTTGTCAGGGCCGACTGCCTCCCTAATTGTACTGCTGCAGGGAAGCACGTGCCTTTGGGAGCATTATCTGATTCCTACAGGGCGTCCAGGAGTGCTTTGTATACTGACCCTTAACTTGAACACAAATAATATCTTTTCAATCCCCTTCCCAGGCTGTTGCCTCAGGCTTGGATACCTAAGAGCTTTAGTTCAGCCATGGGTGTGGACACATTTGTACCAGCCTTGGCCTCAGGTTTTATTTTTCTCTCCTCTAGTCCTCTTACCTGCAGTTTTGCCACACCTGTCAGGAGGCAGAGCCGAAGATGCCTGGTAGGAGAAGGATAGGAGCTGTAGAAGTCAGAGGGGGAGAGGAGGCGAGAGCAGCAGCTGCTCTTGTCAGCAAGGGGAGAAGTGTAAAGAGATTCATAGTTACTTGCAGAGCAAATGGGGACGTGGCATTCGGCAGTGGAATGTGCATGCATGAATGGAATGGAGTGGGCATAGGACTGTTAGCATTTAGACACATGCTCTCTGGACTGAATGGAATGGCAGAGTCCATTTCTTTCCCCACATGAAAGAATGGAAGTATAGTAAAATAATTTTATAAAACCTAAAGCTTAAAATGAAACATATTCCCTGCTGCCCTTCTCCAGAATTTTACCTGGCCTGGGTCTCAGTATGCTTCAGTGGAAAAGCTAGGGCCCTCACTTGCCTCATAAAACACGGACCCACAGGGCTGTGTTCCCTTTCTTGCTTTTGATCCCCTCTGCCACTTGAAGGAAAAAACAATGAGATCTCCACATGTCACAAGGTTTCCTGACCTAAAGGCTGGTTGTCCCTTCTAGACATGGATTCACTTTCGCTCAGGTGTAGAAATGGCCAAGGAGTGAGTTTTCTGATCAGACTAACAGTTGTGATGGCCTGGGCAGAGCCCTGGACTCAGACCCAGAAGATTTAGTTTCAAAATACCTGCTCTATTAGCTGATGCTTGGGCAATCACTTCTCCTCTCTATTGTAATATTGTAAAGTTGCTTAAAGGTAAATTGAAGAGAAATCAATCTATTATTTCTGTAAACATTTTGCTGAGTACACTCTGGGCCTGCCCACTGGAAGACTTTGCATTGGGTAGAAGGGGCTGGCTCTATGAGCTAACATGCTTCCGAATTGCATCAATTATAGACCGGTGCCCAAATATTCCAGCCATTGTCTGCTGCCTCCAGGAGTGTGCATTAGCAGGAAGCAAGAATTAAAAACAGGGCTGGGGAGACCTGCACTGTGGTGAGGCCAGTGGAGGGGAGCCGCTGCCTGCAGTGCTGACATCCCATGTGGTTGCCAGCTGCTCCACTTCTGATTGTGCTCTCTGCTGTGGCCTGGGAAAGCAGTGGAGGATGGCCCAGGTCCTCAGGCCCCTGCACCCACATGGGAGACCCAGAGGAGGCTCGAGGCTCCTGGCTCCTGGCTTCGGATCAGATCAACTCCAACCATTGTGGCCAGTTGAGGAGTGGACCAGCAGATGGAGGGCCTCCCTCCGACCCCCTCTTCTCTCTGTGTGGCTATGACCTTCATATAAATAAATAAATCTGTAAAAAAAAAAAAAAAAAAAAAAAAGCTGGGACTCAAATTCATGCACTCAGATGTATGATGCAGGGCTCCCAAGTAGCATGTTAACTAACTCCTGTACCAAATGCCCACTGCCCTCTCTGGTCTTTGTGAAACTGGTCCCTGGGATGAAGGGGGCACAGCTGCTATCGTGGGACAGAATTTACAAATATGGTATGAGCGTTGTGATGCATTAGGTTAACTTGCTGCTTGGGATGCTTCACCCCATGTCAGAGTACCTGTTATTGAGTCCCACCTCCGCTTCTGATCCAGCTTCCTACTAATACACCTGGGAGGCTGCAGGCCCTGGCTCAAGTACTTGGATTCCTGCCACTCACACAGGAGACCCAGATAGAGTTCCCGTTTCTTGGGTTACCTAGCCATGGGTGTTGTGGGTATTTGGAGAGCGAACCAGTGGATGGAAATCTTTCTCTGCCTTTCTGTCTCTCACTTACTCTGTCACTCTGACTTTCAAATTAATAAATAAATAAAATCTTTCAAAAAAAAAACCCATAATTTAGATTGTAAGACTAAGTAAACTTGAAGACCATATACAATATTTGATGTTTAAATTTCCTGTAGAACATATTTATGAAGTGGCCTTTCTCATTAGGAATGCCACGGCCTAAATATATATAAATAAATGGAAATAATAAGTAGCTTTCATTTATTTAAAAAAAATTCCCTAAGCAACAGTGAGCACTGGATGTTTTATGCCTTGTTAGTGAATAAGTGTATCTTAACATTCTGCCTTTAAGCACCGTTGAGGAAACCAGTCTCCAAAAGTGACATAGAGAGCTTGTCATCTGTGAAGACACCAAAGACGTCTCGTGGTATTTATGTTTATCACAAGTTGGTGATTTGACTTTGGATGCAAAGTGTTTCCGAGGTGAGCTCTGGAGTGATCTGTGGCATGTGTGGCTAACTAACATCAGCGTGTCTGTGTTTCCTTGCAGCCACAGTACACGAACCTGGGGCTCCTGAACAGCATGGACCAGCAGATCCAGAACGGCTCCTCGTCCACCAGCCCCTACAACACAGACCACGCACAGAACAGTGTCACTGCGCCCTCACCCTATGCGCAGCCGAGCTCCACCTTCGATGCCCTCTCACCGTCACCTGCCATCCCCTCCAACACCGACTACCCCGGCCCGCACAGCTTCGACGTGTCCTTCCAGCAGTCCAGCACTGCCAAGTCGGCCACCTGGACGGTAAGAGCAGCGGGTGTGTCTGCACCAAGAAGGTCACCCCTGAACACAGAGAGCATCCTCACCACTTCCCAGGGGTTTCCTCCCACTTCCAGGTTTACAGATTCCAAATTCAACAATGCAAATGTTGTCATTGAATATTTAACACTGAGCTAGAAGCAAGAGTGACAGTGCCATTTGGTGGGAAAAGTCTAGATATGGGAACTGAACACCTGCCCTAGTAATTTTAGCTGCAGTGTTCCTGCCTGCTTTGCACTGTTGTGAGGTTTTTCATGTGAAAGATTTGGGAAAAATAGCCAATATTATGCCAGTGATGACTATCATAATCAAAAGATATATCACATAATTACATTTTGTAATCCAGAAGATAGAGTGCTACCAGTCTTATTGTGAAGGAGGAAATGTCACAGGAGAGTGTAATTTTTAAAAGTGAGGGTCCTACTTTGTAGCACAGCAGGTTAAGCCATTGCCTTCAACATTGGCATTCCATATGGGCACTGGTTCAAGTCCCAGCTGCTCCACTTCTGATCCCTGCTAATAGCCTAGGAAAAGCAATGGAAGATGGTGTGAGTGTCTGAGCCCCTGCCACCCATGTGGGGACCCGGATTAAGCTCCTGAGTTCTGCCTGCCCCAGCCCTGGCCACTGTGGCCATTTGGGAAGTGAAACAGCTAATGAAAGATCTCTCTCTCTCTCTCTCCCTCTCTCTCTCTCTCTCTCTCTCTCTCTCTCTGTTTCTCTCTCTTACTCTCCCCTTCTCTCCCCTTCTCTGGATAACCCTGACTTTCAAATAAATAAATATTTTTTTAAAAAGTGAATACGGTAAGCATGGTTGATAGCATTTAAGAAAACACAATGCAATGTATTAAGGAAAGGCTAATTGTTTCTTTGCCTAGGGTTTTTAAAAAAATATTTATTTATTTATTTACTTAGAATGACAGAGCCATAAATAGAGGGAGAGAGAGACAGGAACATCTTCCATTTGCTGATTCACTCCCCAAATGCCTAGAGTGGCGAGGGCTGGGCCAGGCAGAAGTCAGGAGCCTGGAAATCCATTCCTTCCCCATTATGGGTTGCAGGGGTTCCATTATTTGGGCCATCTCCTGTTGCTTTCCCAGGTGCATTAGCAGGGTGCTGCATTTGAAGCAAAACAGCGTAGACTCAAACTAGCCTTCCCATATGGGATGCAGGCATCACAAGTGGTAGCTTAACCTGCTGTAGTACAACGCTGGCCCCTCATGTAGTTTCTAGAACATAGATAATTAGCATATATATATATACTTACTATATTTAAAATATTTTTCCCATAAAGTAGCCTCCAAAACTACACATCAGAGCTCAGAATTAGTCCGAAGAGATTCTGATGAAAAATTTAAGAAAAAGCAACCTTTTCACTCATAACTTTAACTTTCCAAGATACCATGGAAATTATTTTTCAGAAATGAAAAAGAGACAAGAATATTTATTCTGTTTCAAACTTTGTTTTGTAATATATTACAATGTGAACGAAGCTCAAATAAAGTAGCTAAATCTAGAAAGCTGATTTTAACTGGCTGATAAAAGAAAGTCAAAGTTAAAGTGGCCCAATCAGTTTAATGCCTGCATTGTTCATAGAAATGCTTCTGGTGTCATCATCTCACAGACAAGTGGTTTATGATTCTTTTAAGAGTTTTTTTTTCCTCTTCAGCAAACAGTTTTCCTTGAAAGCTTTTCTTTTGTGTGTGTGTGTGTCATATAAAAGTATCTAGTTCACTGTAGATTTAGTCCAGGTGGGCAGAGCTTATAAATTAATCTATATTCATAACATTTATTATATCACAACATAATTTCACACATCACCTCTTTTTAACTTTACTCTTTTGAAGTGAGTGGGTAGGACAAGTTGTGTAATTCCCATTCTATGAGGGGGTAACCTGGAGAAAATGGATCTTGAGTTGAGCAGTATCCTGAAAGTTTCAGAAACTTTGGTAGGATTTGGACCTGCTTCTGATTTCTGTCTTTCTCCACTGGATTAAATCCTTTCTTGCTTTGTCTACAATTTTACCTCTGGATGTGACAAAACTTGCTAAAAATAATTTTATTTTAGTGCTTTCCTTTCTTTCACATTTTATATTTCAACCATGAAGTATAAATATTAGTTTGAAACTTGATCCTTGCACCATGTATTACTTGTAAATTGTGTAATAATATTTAGCTTCTTTTGCGTTTATAATCTTGGAGATGGTGTGTCTGGTAAGTACACAGAAGAGCTAATAGGCCTCAAATGGTTGAATGATCTAAGCGACATTTGGCTGAAGAATTACTAGAATAACTATTTCATAACTGGAATGCTTGTGTGTCTTAGGAGAGTGGACACCAGTTGGGCACTTACAATCAGTGATCTTCAGGGCTAGCAGTTACTTGTTTGGTTTACTCGGTTAGGAGTCCACCATATTGCAAGAGTGGGCATAGCTGAAAGAATTGTGGGTATATTAGGGTCACCAAGAATCACTTCCCTTCTAAAATCCTGTTTCTAAGAATCATACAGAAATCTTAAGGACCTTTTCAAATTTTCCACAATCCTAAACCACCATCATTCCAAAGCCCTCTCTCAAAGAAGTAAATTGTCTCATAAAATAGTCTGAGGATAGCTACCTAAATTCTAAGTTAGACAGAAATGAAATATTTTGGTGGGGCATACTGGTAAAATGTCCTTATATGTTACAACAGTCATGAGTGCCCTTAATTAAAGGGGAGGCCCTGAGGTGAGGGCAGAAATCTGCTTGCTGGCCTCCATCACCTGTGTAACCTCAGCCAAGGCACTTCATCATTCCTGAACTAAGTCTGCTCCTCAGGTGAGGATGAGGACAATGAAACCTATCTGTTTTCTTAAGATGAGATGATAGTGCCAATAATCAGCATAAAAAGTTTCTCAGAAACGTTCCAATCAATCATTTTATCTGCCATTCCTAAGTGACCTTTGTTGAACAGTTTGACTTCTCTTGGATTTCTGTTCACAGTCCACAGTCTGTCCTATAGATGTTACAGAATAGTGATCTTACTGATATATCATTTTGTCTTCATATTTTTATTAACTTTCTTTCTTGTCCATGACTAGGTTTATTTTAGTCCCAGTGGCATTTCTCTAAACCTAGGGCCCTTGAACCCTTACCTCAAAGGCTGCTGAGATCACCTAAATTTAACACCTATATCTTGTACATATCAGCATCTCATTCTTTGAGCCAAATTATATATACTTACTTCTAAACATAGACTTCATATTGTAATGTATTTTCTCATATGTTTATCTTACTTGAGTCTTACCAGCAAGTCTCCTATCCCAAGTTTTTTATGAATGAGGAAGCTTTAAGAGGTCAAGGTCACAGGGCTAATAACAAGCCCACAGAGGGAGAACTAGAGGTGAGGCGTCCTCACTCACGGGTTGAGTCTTCTTCAGCCAATCTGGACTATCGAAGCAGTGTTTCTTCTTGATTGATAGACGCAAGGGCATACCAGAGCAGGAAGGTCCTGTCCAGGATAGATGAACTCTGTGTCCTGAAGCCTAAGGAGGGGAGGATAATATTTTTGTGCCACATTATACAACATCTGCATTGTCTTATATGAACTTTAAAGCAATTTTTCAAAATGAAATATTACGTTCTAGAGCTTTATACAAATTGGAAATAGCAGAAGCAGCTGTCATTAGAGGGAGGCCATGCTTATTGCATAGTTCTCTGGCAATTCCCTAATAAAAATCTTTTTGTACCATTTTGTCACTCACCATCCTTTTGAGTTGAGTGTTTCCTTTTAATTCTTCTGGATTTAAAGTAAATATGCATTTTCCTTTGCATTTTAATTTTCAAACAATGAATGCGATTATGTTTTGAGTTTTACAACAATAAACTGTTTTAAATCTTTTCTATTGACATAAAGTGAAGTGTGATAACTTTTTTCTATATTCTCTATTTCACGCACACAAACATAATCCTGCCCCCAAAACAACACTTAATTTAATTTAAAGTTTTCTTTTTTTTTTTTTTTAAGATTTATTTATTTACTTGAAAGGCAGAGTTATAGAGAGAGATGGGGGAGGGAAAGAGAGAGAGAGAGAGAGAGAGAGAGAATCTTCCACCCACTGGTTCACTCCCCAAATGACCACAACAGCTGGCTGGAGCTGGGCCATTTGGAGGCAGGAGCTAGGAGCTTTATTCAGGTCTCCCAGGTGGGTGCAGGGGCCCAAGCACTTGGACCATCTTCTGCATTAGCAGGAAGCTTGATGGGAAGTAGAGCAGCCAGTACATAAACCCGGTGCCCATAGGGTATGCTGGCACTGCAGGCCACAGTTTTACCTGATATGCCACAGCACCAACCCCTCAGGCTCTTTTTATGCCACAATTTTAATTGGCAGGAGTGGTCTAGCATTGTAGCTGGGAAGCATCAGCCACAAAGACATTTTGGAGATGGTAAGAAACTCGACTGTACATTCCAACTCTAAAACTTCTAGCAGCATCCAGGACTCTCCCCCAAATTCAGTCCTTCTAAACCTGACTTTCCCTACCTGTAAATGGAATCACTAACACTTTCCTTATCATAAGGATTGCATTATGTATAAATATAGCTGTTAGTGCCAGGGTAGTCATAGGTATACAAATCTTTACTGAGTCTGATTCAAATCCCTTATTTTTCAGTTTTATTGTAGTGTGGCTGAGGGTTCAATTGTATGAAAGGCAATACTTTGAGAAAATGGACAGTAAAATTACTTTTACTTTATGTTTTTATGTTGTTAAAATGCATACTCTAACCTTGAAGCATTGTGATACTACCCACTATCCAGATATAAGAATAGGTGACTTGGTATGATCACTGGTACCCCAGAATGCAGACTTCCGCACCACCTGTTCTGCTTTCCTGAACCTGCCCAAACTTAAGCAGGCTGTGTTTGCCAGCACAAGCAAGGACTCTTTACAGATTTAAGGGACTGTTGGCTTTGGGCATTTATTCTTCATTTTCAATCTGCTGCTTCATT